TAAGAAGAGATAATGAGGTATGATCCGTGGAAGGATAAGTCAGATTTAATTTAATCTCAAGCTGGCGGAGGTATGAGGTAGATGGTGCCGCGCTGGTGAGAAACTTTGTACACAGTTTCAAGAAAAGGTATGATAAGAGGCGTATAACAAGAACTTTGCATTGGTCGATCCATGGCAAATTAATGTGAGTACAACTAGGTGAGTAATAGTGACGGCGCTATGGGGGACTCTTGAGTACCTAAGCTTCCCCATAATTTTCTTCAGCTCCCCATAATTTTCTTCAGCTCCCCATAATTTTCTTCGGCTCCCCATTATTGCCTTCAGCTCCCCATAGACCTTGCATGATGAACATCTCAAGTTATTCACCTTATGCCAGTTCATTTTGCAGGCTGTGAACGTAGTTTCTCTTGCCTGAGACAAAAACTTACTTGAAGAACAAGAGGAGTAATATCAGAACAAGTGGTATTGCAGTTCCGTTCTACAGAATAAATTTAAAGAGACCCAAGACTCTTGAATTTTGAAGGCTCCATTGATACCTTCGTTTCCAACCATAACGACGGAAGAATTACATTGCTATAACTTTTTCGGTTATCCTGCGCCTTATACTTGAGAGTAAAATAAGTATATAATGGTCTCGTATCTATCATTACATCAATAAGGCCAGAATGAACATTATTATTTTGATGTCTTGCATACTGATGTAATTTCGTGTGACGTTCTTTGATATGGACATTTTTCTTAGTGTGAATGAAATAATCTTAAGAAAATACTATGTTTATGATCTGTAATATACTCAGTGAAGTGTGTACTTGCTTGACAGTCAGCGCTCTGATACAACCAAACAATATTACCGAACCAAACAATATAACCGAACCAAACAATATAACCAACTCTAAACCCCTCCAGTACTGAGACTCAGGAGCAGCCTCTGGTGAGTACAACTAGCTGAGTACTATAAGATGAATACAATCAGGCGAGTACGTGATTAAAACCAGATGAGTACAGATAGACGCATTCAAATAGTTGAGAACCAATAATTGAGTAAAACTGAGTACAGTAGTAATTATAATTATTGTAAAGTTACTGTAATTATAATTACCGTTTATCATAATTATAAACATCAAAATCATAATTTGTTGTTCAACAGTAGGTTCTATTTAAAAAAAACTTGTATGAATTTAACAGCGTCATTTTAATAGTTTTATTTGCAACATTGATTGCAACATTAGACCCAAACCAGTGATAACAGCAAGCAGACCGGTCTCTCACGGACACTCGCGTTCGTGAAGATTTAAACGTTTTCAGGTTATTTTCAGCTTATGGAAGACATTTTTTGTTAATTACTGACTTGTGGTTAAATATACCTAAGATAATCTAAAACAATCTAACTTAATCTAACTTAACCTGACGTAGCTTAATATAAGCCCTTAATATAACTTTTGAAATTTAAGGGGTCCATGGAAGACCATGGTAAAGACAGCAGAGGAATTGGGAGCCCACACCGATGCTATCTGCTGAGAGTTATTACTGTCTTCAGTAGATTAAGTACTGTCGTGTATTATCTGTATGTGTGAATCAAGGGTGGTAAGGTAAAAGGCTGTTTCCCCCACCCTCCAGTCGCTCTAGCCATGGAAAATGAAGGAAAATAAATCATTGAGAAAACGGCTTGAAATATACTGGATAGATGGAGTTGGATGGAAGACGTGATGCTATAACTGCTTCTACTAATGTTGTACTATTTCTATCTTAAACTACTTTTGTTGCTCTGCTGTAACAACAGAGCTGTGTATACTAGTGGTTCTCTGCTTCTGGTTACCACCAATTCTATTATGACTATCACCATTTATTTTTACCACTGCTAAGGTTATTGACTCAGTTGCCATGTCAACTGATCGTCTTGAAGTTGCTGAGCAAACAACAGAAATCTGTTGACTTCAGATTACCCCATCTACTGAATGTACTCGTATATGACGGTCCGTATGGGTTTAATGTGATCTTAGTAAGGTAGTGAATGTACCAGGCTACATCTCGCTCCTCTCCTCCCTCACCATATCCTATACCTTTCCGATCACTAACATTCTCACTTTTTTTCGTATATGAAACAACTTAGGCTGACCTGTATTCTTGACTAAGAGATATATACCGAGCATGCAGGACCTGAGGGCTCTTGTCAACTCCTCTCACTAGTACATGACGGTCCAGCTGATTCTTGAACGACAACATTGTCTTCACGTTTACAACATAGGCTGGTGGGCTAATTCCATTCTACTAAAATTCTATTTGTAAACAGAAATCTTTGCATATATTCATCTTGCCTCTTCTGCCTAGCTGTTTCAAGTTATATACTCATTCAGCACTTCAAACAGTTCTTCGTGTTTGAGGGTACCAAAGCCATTCAATATCTTAAGGTCTGAATGAGATCTCGTAGTGTTCGTTGCCTAAGTGAGAGAAGATTAAGTACTTTGAGTCTTTCTTCACAAGGATTGTGTCTGATGGCATGAACTTGGTTTTCTCTGTACCCTCTCCGGTATATCTTCGTCTTTTACGTAACCTGGAAACCAAAACCGGGTGTCATATTCAAGATACAGTCTAACAAGTGCATTATAGAGTGTCAATAGTGTCTGGTGTTTTGTACTCAAATGTCTAGCTAGGAAAATCCACAAATTTGCATTCGTAAGATTATATTAGCCAGTATTCGCTCTGCTGTGGCACGCCATAGTGGTGAACACTGGCTAAATCATCCTCACAAGTGTGATAGTAGGCACCAACCTCTTCAGCAAAACACACAAGTGTGAGTTAATTCATATTGTACAAATAAATCAAAACCATTATTTAATGATGTCCAAAAACACTAAAAAATAGATTTTATCAGATATTCATATTTTTACTTCATGGCTGGTTCCCACACCAAAATATGGCGATCCAAAGGAAATGCACCTAACATTACTGTAATCTAAGCTGCTTTTTCAGAAGTGTGCAGATATTTACAGTTAAAATAAACCTGCGAACCACACCACGTCTACCCATCCTTCAGAGTACACGCTAAAGTAGCTAGTTTGTGCTCCCTATATCCATCTTGCAGACTGTATACCATATCCATTATGTAGACGAAAGTAGACAATTTTTTAGTGAACTTCCATATCCTCCTTGTGGATGGTAGTGGCTAGTTTATTGTGCACCTCATATCTACCATGTGGGTGGTAATGGCTAGTTTATTGTGCACCTCGTATCTATTTTACTAGATAACCTAAGATAATCTGACATTACCTTCAATATAATTATTATAATTAATATTACAATTCTGGGACAAAGCTTAATCCGTAGGGGTCACAAAGCACCTGTAGATATTCATTATATTCACAGGACGCGTTATGTACGAAGGATTTCAACGCTTTTGATCTAAGGAAGGGGAGGTGTGCTCCGGTTAATAGAATCAAGAGCCCTTTGATAGCTTCAGAAAAACTTAAAAACACTTCAGAATAGTTTAGTGAATCTAAGATTTTAAAAGACTTTGAAATTTAATTAAATTTAGACTACGAAAATTGCAGTAAATAAATTATTTATTTAAAGCAAGCGCTAGAACCGCATGACTTACGTAGGTCTGTACTGTTTCAAACAGGGTTGTAGTGCCCACATTGAACTGCGTACGGCTGGCACTAACAGCCTTATTTATCAGGACGCCAAGCCAGGTGATGTGATCTGGGAGCGGGCCGCGGGGGGGCACTGACCCCCGGCTGAATTGCCTGCAGGTAAACTACAGATAATGGTAAATTTCAAGATAGTACAGCATCTTTCAAAGCTTCCGGACTGCGTCCGCCACACACCACAGTCAAGTCTGTCGTCTTCAATTATTCAACGATTCCTGAACGACCAAATGTAAGATGGTCCATTCACAGCTGCTGTGACAACCACAGAACACAGCACCAGCAGCTTAAAACAACATTTGCCTATTGTGATTTACTTGGGAAAATTATCCAATAATTCGGAAACTCAAAATCGGCGATTATTGTCGGTAATGATACGATGGGTGCGTCAAGGTCGAGAGTTAAAATGTATCACCTGGCAACTGGCCCGCCGCTCCGCTCCTCCGCAAGTAATATTCAATGAAGAATCTTGGTGGTGTCACCTGCGTCTCCCACGACCATGGCACCACCAAATTCGCTGAAATTTGGCGATCCTGCTGAGAAAATTGACGTCTTTTCTTTTTTTTGGCTGAGATTGGCCTATCCTGATGTGATCCAGGAATCAGTAAATGTCAGGATACCGTGACTGTATCAAGCCGACACCGATGATCATGAATTCTCCAAATCAGCAGTTTTAAATTTTAATCGACATATACTGCCTTCGACGTGTGGGTATTTTAATATGCCCCTGAGAAAGCGCTAAAATCCGCAAGGGTACGAAACATCGCTTATTTCATTTCACCGGAAAGTTCTGAAATTAAGTGGGTCATTTATCACCTGGAAAAAGGAAGGAGTAATTAGGTTTGATTCAAGTAAAGGGAGAGAAGCCCCCAATTTCTTGACTCAGAGCCATGCAGCAGCAGCAGCAGCAGCAGCAGCAGCAGCAGCAGCAGCCTGAAGGTGAACCTCCAGCAGGTGTCCTGCCTGCCGTCAAGGGTAGATGCTTATACCGATATAAATTATAGTGATTACAGCTCTGATAGTCATGTCTGCTGTGGTATTCCCGCCATGCTTAGTCCTCTTCCATATTGTATCTATAATAATATATATATATATATATATATATATATTATAGATATATATAGATATATTATGCAAGCGTGGTCGAGAGGAGAAAGTCTTTAAACACTACAGTTGGCTATACCCAATGTCATAGGCTCGAATTCTAATCTCATTGGGTTTTGTATGTGTAAATATATCTGGCAGAAAAGTAACGCAGAGACAATGAAACAAGGTGGACGATTAATGTATATTTCGGCCTCATACTGAGTCCTCTTCAGCATACAGTGACATATAATGTTATAATTGAAGACTTACCTGCTGTGGTTTGCCAGCTCAGGCCTCCGATGAACATTTTGCTGGAAGGAAAACGCAAAACATGTGAGTAGATGTGAAATTTTGGGTAGATGGAGCGCGGTATACTCTCATCATAGGATTTATATTGATATTTCATCATTTTTTTTTTCAGGTTTCCGAATAAAGCGCATTTTTTTTTTTTTTTAGTCACTCGCAAACTGCTTTCCCCCAAACAAATATATGATTCTGATATTTGATATATTTATTTATATATTTGCACTTAGTGACTCGATAGATTTTTTTTTTTTTGTGATATCACAAGACTTGAAAATATATATTTCATTTCTTTCTCATGACTATTTCTCTTATGGAAAACAAACATAATTTTTTTTTCATTGAAAATAAACTGCAGATTAATCCTCATTTATCTTGTGTTGCGCTGGAACTTAAGATTGTCTCCACGATAGAGAGGATTATTATTATTATGGCCAGGATAAGCTCTGACGTACCCTGGGTCGTTGGGCACTTCACTGGGGGACCCAACGGGGTTCTCCACGGTGGCTGCTGCATCCATGATCATAATTGCAAAGTAGTGGGTTCAGCTACGTTATAACTACGCCACTAAGTTAAAACTAACTAAGAGAGGAGCGGTACTTCTCTACGCGACCACACACAATACCGTACTACCGACTGTCGTGCACCGAATCTTCTTACGGCCCACCGCCAGAGGGAGAAGGCGGGGCTTAAACTTGTTGCCACATATTGACCCGGGTTCCATATCTCGGCTAATTTTGGGATGTTTTGGCGCATTCCACACCTTCCACATCATTCCCGGCAGTTCATGCCATACTAATGTACCTTACTTGTCGGGTATTTTCCTCCCCGGTTACCCAGACGCCAAGACGGCAATGCGATTCGTACCAAACTTGTCCAAATCTTTTTCGGGTGGGCGGGGCTAAGGCATGACTGACATGAGATCAGGCCCTATGATTGGTCAAGTGGCAGGACCATTTGATGACGTCACAAATCACTATCACAGATACCAGTGCACTCTAGGGACGGATTACCGAACTAACCCGGCTAATGACTCCCCCAGGACTATGCAGTCATAACTCATAATTACTTAGGCCTCAAAGTAACTTTTGATTTGAGAATATTAAATCGAATGTAATTCTCTCTCAGTGGGAACAGTAGTGCAAGCTGTGAAGGCCAGATTTAGTAATCGGTTATTAGTTCATAATCCGAAAGATTTACCAAGGTATGATGGGTGCCTAATATATTCCCCGCAGGCACCGTCCACGCCATCTCTTGGCCACAATATTAACTAACGCACCCGTTTTTTTTTTTCAACTTCTAAAGGATACGCCAGCCTCTCGCTTCTAGCTTTTTTTTTTCCAGCAAAATAGCGTCGTGGCAACTGTCCGCAATCTTTAGCACTAATTCTTGAGCGTAATACATCATTTTCCTTATCACCAGCAACTGAGAAAAATATATAACTTGACGCTACCGACCACATGTAACACACCAACAAATGAACGTAATAAATCTGAGGTTCAGTCCACGAGACTGTTATATTTTTGATTAGAATAAAACGTGTGGACATGGGATTTACTGGTGTGTGTGTGTGTGTGTGTGTGTGTGTGTGTGTGTGTGTGTGCGCGCGCGCGCGCGCGTTCGCGTGTCCGCGTGTCCGCGTGTGTGTACACTCGCCCATTTGTGGTTGCAGGGGTAGAATCATAGCTCCTGGCCCCGCCTCTTCACTTATTGCTACTACGTCCTATCTCTCCCTGCTCCATAAGCTTTATCAAACCTCGTCTTAAAACTATGTATGGTTCCCGCCTCCACTACGACACTTTCCAGACTATTCCACTTCTTGACAACTCTGTGACTGAAGAAATACTTCCTAACATCCCTTTGATTCATCGGACTCTTCAGCTTCCAACTGCGACCCCTTATTTCTATGTCCCATCTCTGGAACATCCTGTCTTTGTCCACCCTGTCAATACCTCGCAGTATTTTATATGTCGTTATCATGTCTCCCCTAACCCTCCTGTCCTCCAGCATCGTCAGGCCGATTTCCCTTAACCTTTCTTCGTAGGACAATAATAATATCTTTGTTTCTACAAATACATGTACAAGGTATACTGACCTTTGCACTTTCTCTAATTTCTTGACGTGCTTGACCAGGTGTGAATTCCGAACTGGTACTGCATACTCCAGTATAGCCCTGACGTACATGGTGTAAAGTGTCTTGAACGATTCCTTACTGAGGTATCGGAACGCTATTCTTAGGTTTGTCTGTCTATCCCTTTTCTTGACTATTGGAACGACATTGCTATTTTCCAGCTTTCCTCAATGTGCTCAGCCGCCACTGACTTGTATTAGCTTCTATCAGTTTACACAGTGTATCTTTCATCTCTCTCAGGACCCAAGGTGACACCGTGTCAAGTTCCACTGCTTTTGACGTGTCCAATTTGCCTAGCAGCTTCTTCAAGTCATAACAAGTCATTGTGATGTCCAGATTCGTCTAATTCCTCTATTCTCTCATGTTCTCTGTCATCATCTACGTTTCCTCAGTAAGTACATCTACCAAACATTTCAGTTCCTCATAAACGTTTTTGAAGTTATTCATTAGGTCTAGCCCTTCCATCTTAAGAACTAGTGTATGATCCTTTACCGTCATTGTCCATCTGATGTAACTAGTAGTTTCGGTTGATATTTTGGCTTTAACACCACATCTAGTATCGGGCCCTTACTCAGACAGGATGGGACTTACACAGATGACAACAAGGAAATGAGTGAAATATTGAAATCCCAGTACGACTCTGTGTTTAGTGAACCACTAATCGGTCTGAGGATCGACGACCCAAAGGATTTCTTCATGAATGAGCCTCAAAACTCCATAAATGTATGCCAGATTTCCGACATTACCCTAACTCCGATAGATTTCGAAAAAGCCATTGACAACATGCCTATGCAGTCAGCCCCGGGCCCAGACTCGTGGAACTCTGTTTTCATTAAGAACTGCAAGAAACCCCTCTCGCGTGCCCTAAGTACACTATGGAGGAGGAGCTTGGACATGGGTGAAATTCCACAGTCACTTAAAACAACGGATATAGCCCCACTCCATAAATGTGGCAGCAAAGCATTAGCTAAGAACTATAGACCAATAGCTCTGACGTCCCACATCATAAAAATCTTTGAAAGAGTGCTAAGAAGCAGGATTGCAAATCACCTGGATTCCCAAAATCTGCACAATCCAGGGCAACATGGGTTCAGGGCAGGTCGCTCCTGCCTCTCACAACTACTGGATCACTATGACATGGCCTTGGATGCACTGGAGGAAAATCAGAATGCAGATGTAATATACACAGACTTTGCAAAAGCATTTGACAAATGCGATCATGGCGTAATAGCCCATAAAATACGTGCTAAAGGAATAACTGGGAAAGTGGGGAGATGGATCTTCAACTTCCTAACAAATCGAACACAAAGAGTAGTGGTCAACAGAGCTAAATCGGAGGCTGCCATAGTGAAGAGCTCTGTTCCACAAGGCACAGTACTCGCCCCCATCTTATTCCTTATCCTCATATCAGACATAAACAGAGATATGCACCACAGCACCGTATCATCCTTTGCGGATGATACTAGGATCTGCATGAGGTTGTCATCTGCTGAGGACGCGGTTAACCTCCAAGAAGATATAAACAAAGTTTTCCAGTGGGCAACGGTAAACAATATGATGTTCAATGAGGACAAATTCCAACTACTCCGTTATGGAAAACTGGAGGAGATAATAACTAGAACAGAGTATACTACTGACTCCGGCCATACAACAGAGCGGAAAAATAATGTAAGGGACCTGGGAGTAGTAATGTCTGAGGATCTCACTTTCAAGGATCACAACAGTGCCACGATCGCACGTGCAAAGAAAATGATAGGATGGATAATGAGAACTTTCAAAACGAGAGATGCCAAGCCCATGATGATCCTTTTCAAATCACTTGTTCTCTCTAGGCTGTAATACTGCTGTACATTAACATCTCCATTCAAAGCAGGTGAAATCGCAGATCTAGAGAGTGTACAGAGATCCTTTACTGCACGTATAAGTTCTGTCAAGCACCTTAACTACTGGGAACGCTTGGAAGCACTTGACTTGTACTCGTTGGAACGCAGGAGGGAGAGATATATCATAATCTACACTTGGAAAATCTTAGAAGGAATGGTCCCAAATCTGCACACACAAATCACTCCCTACGAAAGTAAAAGACTGGGCAGGCGATGCAAAATGCCCCCAATAAAAAGTAGGGGCGCCATTGGTACACTAAGAGAAAACACCATAAGTGTCCGGGGCCCAAAACTGTTCAACAGCCTCCCATCAAGCATTAGGGGAATTGCCAATAAACCCCTGGCTGCCTTCAAGAGAGAGCTGGACAGATACCTAAAGTCAGTGCCGGATCAGCCGGGCTGTGGCTCGTACGTTGGACTGCGTGCGGCCAGCAGTAACAGCCTAGTTGATCAGGCCCTGATCCATCGGGAGGCCTGGTCATGGACTGGGCCGCGGGGGCGTTGATCCCCGGAATAACCTCCAGGTAACCTCCAGGTAACACCTTTTATCAAACTATCGCTGTTGTGCCTCTGTGGCAGTATGGAAGAATTTACTGAGAGGAAACGAGTCAAGACAGTATGCAGGTTGTGGTATATTATTTAAGGAAACGTTTCGTGAATATATCAAAATTTTTGTATGGAATGATAGTCCCGGATGGGCGAAACGTCTTCATAAATATACTGTCATAGCCAGCATATTGTTTTATTTACGTTCATGCTCACTCTCTTCTCACCCCTCGTGTATTTATTTCTGTCTCTTCTAATCGCTTCGGTAAGTGTGTGTGTGTGTGTGTGTGTGTGTTGTGTGTGTGTGTGTGTGTGTGTGTGTGTGCGCGCGCAGAGGGGTCTGGGCTTGTAATACACTCTTCGGTAAACTATCCATGTACTGTATGTCAGTAGCAGTGCTGCTGTCTATCTGCTATGTTACATGTTAGCACTAGGAGACACTTGCCTATCCATCGCAGCTTGTCAGTTGGAACAAGTAATTAGTCACACTGACATGGCTTATTTCTTACGCCAGAATATTTTTCTATTTAAAACTGGCGACCAGATGTTGATTGGTCGCCCGCCTGTTGTCGCTTTATCTCTGTCTCTCTACTGCTGCATCTCTTAATGAGATCACACACACACACACACACACACACACACACACACACACACACACACACACACACACACACACACACACACACACACACACACACACACACACACACGCACACGCGCGCGCACTCACACTCACTCACTGGAATGATTAACCTCTGAGGTTGACAGAAATAAGTGAAAATAATTATCAGTTTAATGATTTATTATATTTTAATTATATTCATATACAGATACCCTATGATGTTTTGATGTTTGTTTCTTAGATGTTTTATTTGATGTTTTATAATTTCATGATTATTTTGACTGTGTTTCTAGTTTTATGATGTTTCATAATGATGGTTTCTGGGCGGTTTTCCATGTTAGTTAATTTTAAAGAATGAACTAGAGTGAGAGAAGGAAACACTCTTATAAGTGGGACCTAAAACCATTCTCTGTAAGTGGGGCTTCATAACTACTTTCTACAAGTGTGATATAAATTCATTCTCTATTAATGTGATTTAAACCCGCTAAAAAGTGGGATTAAATCCACCCTTTGCAAGTATGATTTAACTCACTATCCACAGATGTGATTTAAACCCATAGAAATGTGATTAAACTCCCTCTTCACAAGTGTGATTTAAATCCTGTTCTTATGGAAACTAAATTTTACACAATAGACCACAATGTTAATACAAAAGTATTCACAGTGGTTCAATGGAATAAAATATTTCGAGGGACCAATGTCAACTATTTCAAGTTTACAACACGCAAGACAATGGTGTCAGTGTTCTTCTCAATAGTAAGAAACAGGGAGGAAATGAGAAAGAAAAACACACAATTGGAAACAATGTGTAAAGTGCTCAAGACTAACACACACACTGTAAACAAAGTAGAAACAATGAATGGATAAGAGGAGAAAAAGAAATTTTGAGACGAATGGGAGAGGAGAAAGTAGCAACCCTTAAAATGCTAAGACGGAAATTAAAGAATAAGAAATAACAATGCCGTGGATGGAATAACTCGCAACTAACCAGCAACACCTTGACTGGAACACGTTTCGCTCAGGTTGATATTGATCTAAAACAGAAACGTCGTGCAAAGTTTCCCAGGTCGGTTATATAAAAAGATAAAGGTAGAATATATATAACATAAAGAATAAAGTTCGGGGATTATTTAATAAACTGGACGTGAGTGAGTAGCCCTAATGATTGTACAGAACTAGCCACTTGAGTAATAAACTGGTGATGAATATTGCTGAAGTCAAAGTAGGAAAACCAGAAGCAATATCACCTTGGGCGCTCAAAGAACGTTCAGAATTATACTGATCAATCGTGATATTTTTTTGTGAACAACTACAAGATTATGAACAGGTAGACAAATGTTAAAAAAAGGACATTCAAAATAGAGGAAAAACTGACACCCAGTTTAGAGAACAATTGACATGCTGAAATTTTATGACACCTGAGATAGAAAACTTAGCAGAATAAAAACCTGACCCAAATAGAAAAAAAATCTCCCAGAATTAAAATAGTCACCGATATAGAAAAAAAAAAATTTAATACCTAATTGAGACATTGCCTGGCCAGGCATTTAGGGAGGGGGGTTTAAGCCTCGTAATTACCCTGGTTATTAAAAGACAGAGGATCGAGCCTCCACAACTCCTCTCTCTTAATTATCCACGAGTTCATTACTTCATTCATAAATAATAATTTCATGGGTTTTTTTTTTTTCAAATATTTTTTTAACACATGGTCCGCTTCCCACCAAAGCAGTGACCCTGAAGACGAAACACGCGTTCACCATTACTCAGTCTCTAGCTGTCTTTCTAGAAGTGAACCTCAGCATAATCACTGAATTAAAGTACCAACAAGCACTCTACTTTCCGCCTCCAGAAATTATAATAATTGTAATAAATGTAATATTAACATTATTACGTAGTAAATAATGACTATAATATAACAATTTGTACTAATTATTCAAATTTTGATCAAAATAGTGCATAACATAATGATTGTAAAGCACATAATTAGCCTCAAGTACGACTATTTTTGGAGGTAATAGCAGAAAAGAATATTGTTTTAAGTCAACATGTTTTTCATGCATAACCATTGACTACAAGACCAACACATGCAACACAAACCCAATACACACAGTACACAGCTCAAGGATAGGAACGACATCGCCTCACGAGGCAGGAAACTTGTGAAAATAGTTGAATAAGGTTAAGAAAGGGGGCCAGGAGTCATAACTCGTACCCCGATAACCAAAAACAGTTTAACATGGTGTAGACATACCCTCACTCACCCCGTATATTCTGAGAGTTACTCACCCTACATATTCTGAGGTCATGTATTAATAGACCTACCATCACCCACCCAGCAGA